TCCCACCATAGATCTCTACCCACTGCCCTCCTCCCTGCACTTACTTGTGGCTGCCCCCACTAGCTGTTCCAGAGGAGCAGGTAAGGTAAGGTTAACCTGCCTGACCAGCCTTCGTTGCTGCTGCTCTATCTGGACAGGCTTAGCCTGAATGACAGCAGCAGCCCAGCAGCAGTGGCAGCATGGGGGCAGGGCAGACAGGTTAACCCTCCTCTGTCTGCTCCCCCATGACAGATAGTATAGTCAGGTGCAAACAAGGGGGAGAAGGGCTGTCGGGGAGCCTTGGGGGTGGTGGGGTAACTGAGAGAGCCCTAGTGGGCAGGGAGCTTGGAGGAATGGGAGGCAGATGGATTCTTACCTTTAGTCCTCTGGGCCCCTGCTGGTCTGAATGTGCAACTGCTGCAAACTCAAGCTAGCACTAACACTGATCATCACTTGAGCAGTTCACAGTGTAATGTGTAACAAGGCCCTTACACTATCAAGCAAAATTTGCTGAAGACTTAGTTCTAACAAAAAAAATGAATGAAATTCAGGAGAACAAAAATATCTGTGATTTTGTTTAAACTATTTGAAGACTATTTGCAAAGTAGTAGTAAAGCTCATGCTTTTTCACTTCTATACAACTTAAAAAGGCAAGGAAAAATGTTTTTGCCCTTTCCTCCATTCAAAATTCAGGTCCTTTGTAGTCTCAAAAGATGCAACAGGATACAGTATACTATACATATTTAAAAAGTTTAAACACGCTCTAAGGATGTTTGTGTAACAGTTTCCATTCATAAACAAAACTGCCTCAAGTTTTCAACAAGCGGTTTAATAATGGATGAGAGCAAAGTATTTTTGGCAGGTTAAGTAATGGTTAAATTTTAATCAGTACCAGCTGAACTAATGTAGTACCCATGCAGACACAGACAAGCTGAAACAGTCCAATCAGTCCTTTGTGCAGTGTTATTAAAGATTAAGCCTCAATTTTAGGAATAAAAGTATTTATTAATATTATTGTAGCAACCAAAATATGCTAGACAGTAAGTTAGCACACAGAACTGGTTGAAATAAAACTGTCCTTATAATCTCTTAACATCTTAATATGGTTAATAACCTTCAATGCAAGCCACTGACCCATGAGATCATAAAATGAACCTACCTAGACGAGGCCTTGGCCTGAAGACCATCTCTAATCCTTTCACTTCTAGTGCACAGTTATCCTGTAGCAATGACCCCCAGGGAACGGACAAAGAAATAGTCTGGATAAATCCCTCCGTGACTTCTAGAGGTGCATCTGCTGACTCCAGGATCTCATTTAGACACTAGAAGAAAAAAACTCTAAATCATACCCAAAACTGTGAAAATTATAGTCACTTACTGGCAGCAACATCTTTAGTATCTGATAAAAGGCATTAAATTAACAGATTTAATAGACTGGCAGTTTTCTTGCATTTTTGGTTCCAGGAGTACAACATATTACACACTAAAATTTTAACAGAATATTATTCTACCTGCAGATGTGTTTGTGATCTATGCAACTACACTGTTCCAAAAAATTTCTCATTTTTAAGAATATTATAGTAATGACACATAAGTTAACAGTTCCTTTATAAAAATCACACTAAATTTTAGGAAAGGCTGATGTAGACCACGTTCAGGAACAGCTCTCCTGGTAGAGACTATGAGTGTACAGGCGTTCACTTAGAGCACATACCAACTGCCGATGCTTCCTCAGCCTGACTAAGGGTATGTAGACCCAAAAGCTTGCAAAGATTTTTTCCAACTTCATGAGTTGGTCTAAGATATTAGATTTACCCAAAGAACTTTGTCTGCAGGTGTTCACATAGTTCCCGCTGAAACCAAAATGGTGATTTTGGGACAAAAATAACCCATCTCCAATCAAGTCACTCACAGAATCACAGAAAATCAGGGTTAGAAGGGACCTCAGAAGCCCATCTAGTCCACTTCCCTGCTCACAGCAGGACCATCCCTAGCTGGACCATCCCCGTCAAGG